GAGTGCAGTGTCTCCTCTGTCCAGGAATGAGTGCAGTGTCTCCTCTGTCCAGGAAAGAGTGCAGTTTCTCCTCTGTCCAGGAAAGAGTGTGTCCTGCCACTTTGGCCCCTGCAGCACTTCTCTGGAGTCAGGAGGCTTCTGAGTGCACTGTCCATGCCATTCTCTTACTGGGGGACTCTGTTTTGAATACACTAACATCTCAATAAGTAAGTGTACATCACCATGCTCCTCACTGGAGAACAGGGTAGCGAACAGAATCCCCATGGTGTGCTGCTTCTTCTTCTTCTTCTTCTTCTTCTTCTTCTTCTTCTTCTTCTTCTTCTTCTTCTTCTTCTTCTTCTTCTTCTTCTTTTCTTCTCCTTCTCCTTCTCCTTCTCCTTCTCCTTCTCCTTCTCCTTCTCCTTCTCCTTCTCCTTCTTCTTCTACTACTACTACTTCTTCTTCTTGTCTGTGGGCTTTTGCTTTCTTTTTTTGTATTTTTTGTTTTGTTTGTTTTTTGTTTTTCAAGACAAGGTTTCTCTGTGTAGTCCTGGATGTCCTGGAACTAGCTCTGTAACTTAGTTTATATTCTTCCTGCCATCCTTCTGATCACAAGAATGCATCTTAGGTATGTGATCGGCAACAATTGTTTTAAACTAATTTATTTATTTGGCTTTTCAGGACAAGGTTTCTCTGTGTAACAGGCCTGGCTGTCCTGGAACTCGATTTGTAGACCAGGCTGGCCTTGAACTCATAAAGATCTGCCTGTCTGTGCCTCTCGAGTGCTGGGATTTAAGGCGTGTGCTACCACCACCAACTTTTGCTTGGGTTTTAGATAGTATCTTGCCTTGTATGTAGCACAAACTGACTTCAGACTTGCTCTGTGGCCTAGGCTGGCCTTGTGATCCGCACCATTCTCAATATCCTCACCACTGGAGGTTTGGGTTTGTTTTTAGTCTACTTAGTGTACTGCAGAGTGTGTGCACTGGACACGGCAGTCACAGAAGAGCTGTGTGATGTCATCTTGATTTCATTAAGCAACTTCAGATTCAGGGTCAGCTACTGGGACATTTACACGATACATAAACACATTTATTATTCGACAATTTCATACACGTGCATAATGCATCCTGGTCAGACCCCCCACCCCCATCCCCCTCTGACTCCTGGAAAGCCCCAATCTTGCCAACAATCACTTCCCTATCATTTTGAGTTTAGTTAGGCTGCCTCCACGAGCATGAGTGTGGAGCTATCCACTGGAGCAAGGGCAACCTCCGAGGGTCTGCACCACTGAAGACATGACTCCCTCTCTCTCCCAGCAGCCCTCAGCAGTCAGCTGCTCCCCAGGAAGGAGCAGGTCACCAGCACTCTGTCCTGCACATGCTCATTATACTCACTAAGCTTTTTTTCACTTTATTTTGGGGAGTGGGGTGCCATTGTGCCACAGTACAAATATATCGGTCAGAGAACACCTTGCAGGAGTCCAGTATCTTTCCACATGTGTATTCTGAGGATGGGACTCAGGTGGTCAGTCTTGGCAGCTACCTCACCCACCATTCAGTTATTATAATCCAGCTGGAAAACTAATGTTGGCTATACACACAAACACGCTGATATACATATATTGTTGCTATAAAAATGTGTTTATGGACTTTGCACATCAAAACACCTTATGCTTACTGCTTCTCTTGGAATTTTATCTTGCTGGTCAGTGCACTGGAAACTGAAAACATTGAACATGTTTATCAAGCTACTACTAAAAGACTGGAAAAACTGGTTATCATGCAGTTTTACAGAAATTGGGTTCAGGAAAAAAATGGGCTCACATATGGGTTCTGCCATTTACCATGTGTGATTCTGAATCTGAACCTCAAAGCCCTAGTTTCCTCTTTGTGAAGCAAGAACACAATAATACTTTCTTCTTAAGGGTTAAGTAGATGGACTAAAGTCATGTGTATCGATAAGTGATAAGAAAAACTGTGGCCAGCGGTGGTGGCGCACGCCTTTAATCCCAGCACTCGAGAGGCAGAGGCAGGCGGATCTCTGTGAGTTTGAGGCCAGCCTGGTCTACAGAGTAAGATCCAGGAAAGGCTCAAAGCTACACAGAGAAACCCTGTCTCAAAAAAACAAAAACAAACAAACAAACAAAAAAACTGTGTAAAATGAATTGCTAAATGGTCTTATTGATTGAAAACCTGGAGCCACATATGGAGTGAAAACTGAGAGATCAGAGGAATAGGACAAGCCACAGCCAGCCTCACCTAACCAGAGAGAGCTACCTTCTGGATACCCACGCCTATATGCCTTTCTGTCCCTGCCCTCCTACTTCCTCTCTCTGCCCAGCTACATCACTTTCCTCTTTCAGCCCAGCTCTATCGCTTCCTGTCTGTATAAACCTCCAGACCTCAATGGTTACCTAGTGATGGTAATTAAAGGCGTGTGCCACAAAGCCTGGCTCTGTTCCCAGTGTGGCCTTGAACTCCCAGAGATTCGAATGAATCTCTGCCTCCCAAATGCTAGGATTAAGGGCGTGTGCTACCATTGCCTGACCTCTATGTTTAATACAGTGACTGGCTTTTTCCTCTGATCCTCAGATAAGCTTTATTGGGGTGCACAAATAAAGTATCACCACAGAACTGCTTGTATAAAACACTGAGTCTGGAGTCCCTGGCTACAGCAGAGAGCTTCAAGCTGTCTGGTATTGTGCTAACAAACTCACTAGCCTGGGGACCAGAGGACCCAAGCTTAAATAGAAACCTTGCTTTTTTTCCTCCCAAGCTACGTGACCTTAATCAAGGCCCAACCTCTTTGCACGTCAGCCACTTGTTTAACTGGCCGGTATCAACGGTATTAATTACAGTTTTTAGAGCACTGACCATATCCAGTGTAATCTGCTAGGTTTACACACCGACTCCTCCAGTCTGCATGTCAGCCTCCTTGGCGGATAGCCTTATCTCCATTTGATAGGTGGCTGATGCTCGTCAACCTTGGCCAGGGCCACCCAGCTACTGCGTGATGGCAGAGCCTGGCTCCACAGCCGGCTGTACCTGTTAACCTGCTGCCCGCCTCCCCTGGGAAGGCGAAAGGAAATGGCTGCTTTGACATCACCTTTTCAGTTAACAGTGCTGTGCAAACACTGTGTTATGATGGTGGTCCTTTGTTCAAAGAACTGAGTGACACAAAGACCTTGGGGTGTGTCCTTAGAGTCTAGAACCCTGAAAGAACAAAGTTATACTTTTAAATCTCTTTTCTTGGGGCCAGAGAGATGGCTCAGCAGCTTAGAGCACCGACAGGTCTTGTGACAGCCCTGGTTAGATTCCCAGCACCCACATGGCAGCTCACAACAACCTCCAGTCTCAGGGAGCCTGACCGCACAGACACATGCAAACAAAACACCCACACACATAATTGTTTTACTCTAAAAAATTAATAAAAAATGACTCTTTTCTTATTGAAACTTCACCTTGACCTCAATTTCACTTAAACAGACCTGATAAACAATGAATTTTAAAAGAAAGAAAAAAAAACATGCGCACAACTAATTACAGAATGGATGTGTGTAAGCTACTCTGTGTCGACTGGACATTGCTCTCTACACTTCTGGAAGCCCACTGCAACAAAAGCCTGCACTCCTAAAGAGACAAAATTGTGTGTGTGTGTGTGTGTGTGTGCGTGTGCGTGCGCATTCACACAAGAGTGGATAAAGTGCTTTCATGTGTACAGTGTGCAGGTGCATGTGAAGGCCAGGGGCCATCCTGAGCATTGTTTCTCGGGCTCAGTTGTCTCACTTCCAGTAGCCTAGGCTGGCTCAGGCCCCAGGGATCAGTCTCCCTAGGCACTGGGGTTACAGTGGGTGTCTAAGCTCCTGCTTTTTTTCCTGTTGATTTCGGGAATCTGAAATCAAGAGTCTCCTGCTTTTGCCGAAGCTCCAAAACATTTACCTCGCACCTGCATTTGCAGGTAGCTCTTCTGGGCAAACATAAAGGGGCCACAAAATTTCCCACAAACTAATGTATTCAAGAAAGAAACTAGGTGAACTCCAGTTCCGGGCACCATACATTCTCGCTAAATTTCCTGATCCCTTTTCAAAGACACCTTGGGAAAATGGTGAAGCTGAGCTCTTGCGTGAAAACTATTAGTCGGACAGTTTGCTATGGTTTTCTGAGTTACCTCCTTTGGAATAACAACCCAGGTTTTTAATTTCTTATATATTACCAAAGCATTTCTCTCTGGAGCTGTTAAGAATAGCAGTAGTGGGCAAAGAGAGCTTCACTTTGGACCCACCAGGACGTCTTTCTCCTTTACTCTGGGTGTGTCCAGGAAGGCACTTCAATTTTTTTCCCTCCCCTTTATCTCTGCTTAAGACTCCCAGTGCAACTCTGATAGAAGTCAAAGAGTAAAGTCCAGATCCGGTGGAGGGCATTCATTTGTCCCGGCAGATCTGCGTCCCGGAAGGTGCTGGCGCACATCCTACCCTGCACGGCTGGCCCTGAGCACGTCCACCGCCGACTCCTCAACAAAAGAAAGCCTAGTCGCCCGACCCCAGTGACCCACAATCCGGATCTGAGCAGATAGTTCCATCCGGCCCCAAGACTGCTTTTTCCTTGAGCTCTCTCTTCCCCCGAGGCGCTGGAGACCGCCCCACCCTGCTGGCGACTTGAGGCTTGGGGACTGCGCCACCAGCTTAGGCGGCGGACAGGCTGCGCTCCCTGCGCTTACCTCAGACGGCTCGATCTCAAACACGCCGGCGATCTTGGCGTAGAGCTCCTGGATGCTGGAGAACTCCTCCACTCGGCCCGTGGCGCTGCCGTGCGCCAGTTGTGCGTGGAACACCAGCCTGCGCGCCGGAGCTGGGGGTCCGGGGACACCCTCGCGGACGCCCGACCTCTCGCCCTCCACTAGACGCGCCGTCTCCTTGGACTTGGCCGCCTTCTTCTTCCCGCGCAGTCCAAGCGGCATCTTGCAGGGCCGAAGGCGTGGGCCACCTGTGCTACCCGCGCCAGCTCCTCGGCCTCGGACAGTGGACTTTGCGCTCAGGGCTCCGGCCCCAGCTCCCTGCAGGTGACAGCGGCTGTTGGGCCAATGGCAGCAGCGCTTCCGCCTGGAGGCGCGGGCTTCAGGCCCCCTCCCAGTGGAGGACAGGGCACCTGAGCGAGGCAGTCACTGCTCTCCATGGCTCCTATGCATAGCAGGTCAACTCCCTTATCGGCCCAGGCCTCCTCTGAGTGAAAAAGAATTGATTTTAATGAAGATGCTAACAAAGAAATCTTACAACTAGCTTGTTGGCCTTGCCTTGCCTTCCAGAATCTGGACACTCAGCTAGGTATGGTGGATGGTTTGGGCCAGTGATTCCCCCTCCCCCAACCCGACAGACAGACAGACAGACAGACAGACACACACACACACACACACACACACACACACACACACACACACACACACACGGCACTATTAAGGCTAGGGCCATGAGTTTGAGGCCAGTCTGGGCTACAGGATGAAAGCCTCCCAAATTTTAGTATTTACGGGAAAATTAAAAGAAGGAAAAAGGACATTATGTTATGTCCTTTACAGTATGCAGAGCAGGGCAGGCTCTAAAAGAAAACTGTTGCATTTTTTTCTCCTTTTCTCATACACAGAATCTAAGGGACATGAGAGGAGGAGGAGGGACGAGAGGAGACAGAGAGCAGTGGAGGAAGAGATGGAGAAACAAAGAGCTGTATGCACGAAAATGCCATAAGGAAACTCATAACTTTGTGTGCTGACTTTAAAAGGGGAATTGTAGTAGGCATGGCATTCGGCCACATTCTGGTAACCACAGCCTGTGACTTTGTCTCCAGGGATTTATACAGAAGTCATCCTTCCTCGACTTCCCGGTAAAGGAACTCACAAAACCTTGCGAGTCTGTCAAGTCCAAACGCCTGAGCCAAGCCCTCAGCACCTCGCTTTAACCTATTCATTTTGGAAGGAGAGCTTTCTCCTGTAAGCTTCAACACTCCCAATTTCTTTGTTCCACGCACTTAGGGAAACTCAGTCCTGCCCTTCAGAGAGCCGAATCTATTCACTGAGATGTGTGTGCACTCAGTTCCCCATACTTGTTAGTAACTCTATCCACCTCATGTCTCTAAGCTCTGAAGCAGTCTTTCACCTGACCCATCTGATTTCTACACTCAAGGCTCTTTAAAAAAAAAAAAAAAATGTGTGTGTGTGTGTGTGTGTGTGTGTGTGTGTGTGTGTGTGCGCGCGCGCGCGCGTGCGCGCATTCCTATGCACACCAGGGCATTTGGGACAAGAGTTTCTGAGGTTTCTCCTTCTCCACCTCCCATCACAGCCCTCACACTTGGACAAGTGCTTTACCCGCGGAACTATCTCTCCAGCCCAAGGCTGCCTACTTTTAAGGTACCTATTGATTTATTCCTCAGCTCCTGGGGCCACAGATGATCAGAACCACATTGTCCTCCTAACCTTGCTGTTCCCTCCAGTGACTGGTTTTTTCCAAGGAAGCATTTGCTGTCAGCCGATGAGCAGACTGTGCCCCACACTCCCTGAGACTGCGCTCCATGTACAGTCAGCCTGCGTCATCACCTGTCTACCCACCAGAAGCCTTAAGCGATCTGGCTTTGCCCCACCTCCACTTTTGCCAAGTTGATGCTTTCTAAGTATCCCCAGACTTATTCAGCCGTCCTCTCCCATCCCGTGCTCTCCCCTAAATGCCTGCACTTACTCTCAATTCCACAAATAGTGTTGGCCAAACCATGTGATCTGCAGTTCGGTCCAATAGGAAGGGTATGGTCTAAGGAAACTCTTAAGACTGTGTCAAACTGACCTCATTCTTTCTAGTGAATGTTTTCTCTTTATCCCCAACTAAAATGAATAGACCCAACATGCACTATGGTCCAAGTCAAGACATTTTTGAGTCATCAAACCAAATTTTTTCATCTCCTATCACCTCTCCTAGAAGCCCAGCCTTGAAAATCCTTGTTTCTCCAGGTAAAGTTAGTAGATGTTCTGGGGGGTAGGGTGGGGTGGGGAGAGAAAGGAGTCTGTGATTGTGACGTGGGAGTTGAAGAGATGGCTGTTAATAGTGTTTGCTGTGTAAGCAGAAGGACCCAAGTTCAATTCCCAGCACCCATGTAAAAGCAGGCCATAGAGAGTTTGTAACCCCAGTGCTAGGAAAGCAGAGAATGGACGATCCTGCAGCTTGTTGGCCAGCCAGTTGAGACAAATTGGTAAGCTTCTGGTTCAGTGAGAGACCCTGCTTCAAAAAATGAGGTGGAGAGCAATTGTAAAAGACACCTGACATTGACCTAGCCTTTGGATGCTAGGTCAATATACACACACATAGGCACACACACAGGGTATTGTGAACATATTGAACATTCTGGTTCATCTAAATGACTGAATCCAAGATTCTGCCACATGATCTCAGAGTTTGAACTTGCCTTTGAGGCTCTGATTTATACAGCACCAAATAGTATCATTTGGTCTTGGCCTAATAAGAAAAGAGGAAAGCCAGGCATAGTCGCAACACCTGTAAACCTAGCACTTCAAAAGCTAAGGCAGGAAATGTCTCAAGCGTGAGGCTAAACCAGGTGAGAGAAAGTGTTGTTGTTGTTGTTTTTTTAAGTAATAAGCAAAGCAAAGTCTGAATAAATGGTGCACCCCGTTCAAGTGAAAGCTGAAGAACTTGTCATTGCACAGCATGAAGAGTGACAGAGAAGTCTGATTTAATCAAAGCAGGAAGATAAGTCATCCTGGGGCGTGTGGTAGATGCATAGTGAGGATCTGGGGACATGGGATGTGAACCTCAGAAAACCTTTAAGGAGAAAAAGGTGGGTGTTTCTTTTCTTTTTTGCCTCTTACTCACAATTCTCCTGCCTCAGCCTCTGAACTGTTAGAACAGCAGATTTTTCTACCACACCCAGCAGAACAGGACCATCCAATAAAACACCAAAAGAAACAGGGTAAGGTGTTGGTGTCAGGTGGTCTGGGAATGTAGTTCAGTTGGTACATTGCCTGCCCAGCATACACAAGTAGGTAAGCATGCAAGCACACACACACACACACACACACACACACACACACACACACACACATATATAAATTTTAATTAGATGTTGGTAGCTGTGTGGGTTTATTTCCAGGTACTCTGTTCTGTTCTGTTCTGTTCCATTAGTCTAGATACCTGTTTTGTGCCATTATCATGCTGTTTTGGTTACTATGGCTCTATAGTGTAATTTGAGATCAGGTGTTGTGTTATCTTCCACATTGTTCTTTCTTTTAAGGATTGCTTTGGATACTTAAGATCTCTTCTGTTTCTATATAAATGATAGGGGTTTTTAATACTGCAAAGGATTTTATTGATATTTGCATCAAGCCTAGATTGGGATATCTATGAGAACACCATATAGCTGTTCTCACATTATTAATTCTGACAATCTATGAGTAAGGGAGGTCTTTCCATCTTCCAGTGTCTTCAATTTCTGTCTTCCATGTCTAAAGTTCTCATTGTCTTCTGTCTTTCCCCTCCTTGGTTTGGTTTATTCCCATGTTGTTTGTTTGAGGAGGGGTGTTTGTCTTGAAGTTACTGTGAATAGGTTACTGTGAATAGAAGTTTTTCCTTGATTTTTTTTCTCAGCATCCTCATCACTTATAAATAGAAAGGCCACTGGGTTTTGTATGTTGATGTCATATCCTGCTACTTTGCTGAAACTGCTCATCAGGTCTGAGAGTTTCCTGATGGAGTCTTTATGTTTATATACCCTGACTTTTCCCATGCTCCCTGCTAGATAGTTCTCAGTGGTAGAAGGCATTTCATATTTCTCTTTAGTGTCCTGTTTAAATTTTTATTGTGTTACATGTATAATAGATAACAGTAAGTATAATTGAATAAACTAGATTTCCCTTTGGTATGGCCTAAGATGAACTAATAAAACACAACTGAAAAGTATCAGGCTAGGTATATGGCTCAATGAGAGAGTGCTAACCTAAAATGCTGAGGCCCTCTGCACAGTAAAAAAAAAAAAAGTATTGGGTTTTCATTTTGCATCTAGGATTAGAGTGCAGCCCAGACCGCCCATCTTTGTTTCTTCCATTCACTGGCATTTGGCATTTCTAACAATATTAAAGTACCAACTGTAGAATCAAATACAAGTGAGTCATTAAAATTCTCAAATTAATATACTCTTATGTCTGTCAAAAGCAATATTATCTCATTATAAGGCAATATATGGCTATTAAATGAATCATAAGATAAATTTACTTTTTTCCCCAGAAAACATAGCCTCTGATTAAAACATTAGTTTTGAAGAAGCACACATGGTCCCCACCCTGTCCCACATGCCCACTGTGGATGGGTCCAACAAGCAAATACTTAGGAAAAAATAAACACAGGATTTGTTCAATGCCATGCAGCTTTCCTTGGCACTAAAGATAGCATGTTTTAGAGTTGCATGGCAACAATGAGCAACCAAAGATGACAACTAGAGGAAAAAATAACTCAGCTGAGATTCAAATAAAATTTGCCAGGAATGGTTGTAAATAGCAAACTGAGAAATGGAGGAAAGAGGGAGAAAGTGATGGAATGTGAAGAATGAAGTCAGAGAATGGATAAGCAGGTGCCTCGTGGGCCTACTGGGAGCTTGCTCTGGGTCACCTTTGTTGTGGGATAGAATATTTGTTTAACCAAGGAAAGATGAGTTGCATTTGTGTTGCAGAATAATTGTTTAGCTATGTAAAGGTGTGTTGCTTTTGTTTATGCTGCATTTGTTTAACTATGTAAAGATGTGTTGTTGTTTCACCTTGCCTCCTAAAGTACCTGATTGGTCTAATAAAAAGCTGAACAGCCAATAGCTAGGCAGAGGAGGGATAGGCAGGGCTGTTGGGCAGAGAGAAAAGGGGAGGTAGGCAGCCAGCCAGGGGCCAGAAAGACAGACACAGAGGAAGCAGGAAAGCAGGATGGACAGTACATAGATGAGGTAAATGAGCTCCAGGACAGCACATAGATGAATAGAAATGGGTTAATTTAAATTTAAAAAGATAGCTGGAAACAAGCCTAAAGTTAAGGCCAAGCATTCACAATTAATAATAAGTCTCTGAGTCATGATTTGGGGGCTGGTGGTCCAAGAAGACCTGCTTCATGGCTTAGTGCCAGAACTTAGTATGTGTCATCTCAGCCATGGCTTTGTGTTATGAAATATTAGTTTAGAATATGCTACATTTGTTTACACTGTGCAACATTTGTTTAATGATGCAAAGATGTGTT